AGTTGTTCAGTTTCCATGAAGTTGTGCAGTTCTAGTTAGTTTCTTAATCCTAAGTTCTAATTTGATTGCACCATGGTCTGAGAGACTGTTTGTTATGATTTCCATTCTTTTGCATTTGCTGAGGTGTGATTTACTTTCAATTATGTGGTCAATTTTAGAGTAGATGTGATGTGGTGCTAAGAAGAACGTATATTCTGTGTATTTGGGTGGAAAGTTCTGTAAATGTCTATTAGGTTTGTTTGGTCCAGCTCTGAGTTCAAGTATCAAGTCCTGGATATCCTTGTTAATTTTCTGTCTCGTTGATCTGTCTAATATTGACAGTGGAGTGTTAAAGTCTCCCGCTATTATTGTGTGGGAGTGTAAATCTATTTGTAGATCATTAAGAACTTGCCTTATGTATCTGGGTGCTCCTGTTTGGGTGCATATATATTTAGGATCATTAGCTGTTCTTGTTGCATTGATCCTTTTACCTTTATAAAATGCCCTTCTTTGTCTCTTTTTGATCTTTGTTGGTTTAATGTCTATTTTATCAGAGACTAGGATTGCAACTCCTGCTTTTTTTTTTTTTTTTTTGCTGTCCATTTGCTTAGTAAATCTTCCTCCATCCCTTTATTTTGAGTCTGTGTGTGTCCTTGCACGTGAGATCGGTTTCCTGGATACAGCACACCAATGGATTTTGACTTTTTATCCAATTTGCCAGTCTTTGTCTTTTGATTGGGGCATTTAGCCCATTTACATTTAGGGTTAATATTGTTATGTGTGAATTTGATCCTGCCATTTTAATGCTATCTGGTTGTTTTGCCTGTTGATGCAGTTTCTTCATTGTGTCAATGCTCATTACCATTTGGTACGTTTTTGGAATGACCGGTACTGGTTGCTCCTTTCTGTGTTTAGTGCTTCAAGGCAGGTCTGGTGGTGATGAAATCTCTGCACAATTGCTTGTTCATAATGAATTTTATTTCTCCTTCAGTTATGAAGCTTAGTTTGGCTGGATATGAAATTCTAGGTTGAAAGTTCTTTTCTTTAAGGATGTTGAATATTGGCCCCACTCTCTTCTGGCTTGTAGGGTTTCTGCTGAGAGATCCACTGTGAGTCTGATGGGCTTCCCTTTGTGCGTAACCCAACCTTTCTCACTGGCTTCCCTTAGCATTTTTTTCTTCATTTCAACCCTGGTGAATCTGAGGATGATGTGCTTTGGGGTTGCTCTTGTTGAGGAATATCTTTGTGGTATTCTCTGTATTTCCTGGACTTGAATATTGGCCTGCCCTGCTGGGTTGGGGAAGTTTTCCTGGATAATATCCTGAGGAGTATTTTCCAGCTTGGATTCATTCTCTCTGTCACAGTCAGGTACACCTATCAAATGTAGATTAGGTCTTTTCACATAATCCTATATTTCTTGGAGACTTTGTTCATTTCTTTTTACTCTTTTTTCTCTAATCTTGCCTTCTTGTTTTATTTCATTGAGTTGATCTTCAATCTCTGATATCCTTTCTTCTGCTTGGTGGATTCAGCTATTGAAACTTGTGTATGCTTTGTGAAGTTCTCATGTTGTGTTTTTCAGCTCCATGAATTCATTTATATTCTTCTCTAAGCTATTTATTCTCATTAGCATTTTGTCAAACCTGTTTTGAAGGTTCTTAGTTTCTTTGCATTGGATTAAAACATGTTCTTTTAGCTCAGAGAAGTTTTTTATTACCCACTTTCCGAAGCCTGTTTCTGTCAATTCATTAGATTCATTCTCCATCCAGCTTTGTTTCCTTGCTGGTGAGGAGTTGTGATCCCTTGGATGAGGAAGGATGTTCTGGTTTTGGGTGTTTTCAACCTTTTTGCACTGGTTGCTTCCCATCTTTGTGGATTTATCTACCTGTGATCTTTGTAATTGGTGACTTTCAGATGGGGTCTCTGAGTGGACATCCTTTTAGTTGATGATGAAGTTATTTCTTTCTGTTTTTTTTAGTTTTCCTTCTAACAGTCAGGCCTCTCTGCTGTAGGACTGCTGGAGGTCCACTCAAGACCCTGCTTGTCTGGGGATCACCTGTGGCGGCTGCAGAACAGTAAGGGTTGCTGCCAGTTTCTTCTTGTTATCTTTGTCCCGGAAGGATACCCGCCAGATGTCAGACTGAGCTCTCCTTTATGAGTTGTCTCTTTGGATATACAGGGTTTGGGGAGTTTCTGGAGGAGACAATCTGTCCCTTATTGGAGCTCAAGTGCTGAGCTGTGAGCTCCGTTGTTCTGTTCAGAGCAGCTGGGCAGGTACATTTAAGTCTGCTGAGCGGAACTCATAACCGCCTTTATTTTCCCCATGTGCTCTGTCCTGGGAAGGTAGGACTTTATTTATAAGTTCCTGACATGCTGCTGCCTTCTTTCAGAGATGCCCTGCCCAGTGAGGAGGTAGCCTAGTCACAGTCTGCCAGCAGAGGCATTGTTGAGCTGCCGTGGGCTCTGCCCAGCTGCTGTGTGAACTTGCGGTTTTTGTTTATAGAGGTGTAGTTAACTGCCTTGGTAATGGTGGACTGCCCCTGTAATGGTGGACTTCCTCAGTAATGGCGGACTGCCTCAGTAGTGGTGGACTGCCTCAGTAATGGCGGATGCCCTTCACCCCACAGAACTGGATCGTCCTGGGTCCATCTATGCTTGCTGTGAAATTCTCAATCAAGAACATTTCAGATTGCTGGTCTTTGTGGGGGTGGGACCCACTGAGCCAGATCACCTGGCTCCCTGTTTCAGCCTCCTTTTTTTTCAGTTGAATGGGCAACTCTGTCTCCCAGGTGTTCAGGCGCCAGTTGAAACGGCCACCCAGATTTGTGTGTGTTTGTGTGGAGATCCACTGCGCCGGCTGAAACAGCTGTGCTGGAAACTCGGGGCGCTTTTCCGCCCGGGAATCTCTGGGTCTGTGGGCAGTAAAAACTCGTTTGGAAATGCGGTAATCACTCACCATCTGTGTTCTTGCTGGGAACTGCACTCCAGAGCTGTTCCTATTTGGCCATCTTGGATCATCCTATTATATTATCTATCTTTAAAAAAAAATTTTTTTTTGAGTTGGAGTCTTGATCTGTTGGCCAGGCTGCAGTGCAGTGGTACAATCTCAGCTCACTGCAACCTGCACCTCCTGGGTTCAAGTGATTCTCCTGCCTCAGCCACTCAAGTAGATGGGATTACAGGTGCATGCCATCACGTCAGGCTAATTTTTGAATTTTTGTTAGAGACTGGGTTTCACCATGTTGGCGAGGTTGGTCTTGAATTCCTGACCTCAGGTTATCTGCCCTCCTCGGCCTCCTAAAGTGCTAGAATTACAGACATGAGCCACTGTGCATGGCCATTTCCGCTATTTTAAATTGTCAGAATTATGTCGTATAATTCTCTGTGCTATGTATTTTATCTTTGCATTGTTTTCAATATTAGAGATATAAATTGTATAAAGACTTTTAGAGTGTTCTAATTTGTTTTATGTTTTTTTTTTTTCAAATTTGACTCCACAGAGGTACATTTCGTAACATTGACTTTGTGTATAACCATTGTGCTTATTGATAAAAATGTTGAAACTTTCACAATTGATGAAGAGATATCCGTTTGTATGTCTGCATTTGTGAAAGATGAAGTTTCTCAAGGTCGCCATTCTTTGGGTAACTGACTACATGTGTGGTGGCAACCCATCACAGTTTTTGACTGATCTTGTCAAAAGACTTAGGTTGTTCATCAAGTTATTTCAGATGACTGCAGTTGTTTAAGCTATTTCTTTATGACTACAGTTCACTTGCTCATAACTGTTACATCTTTGCAACTCATTAACATACCTGAGTGTTTATGTTTGCAAAAATGTGGTTATTATCATCTGTTTTATTGTGTAAAGTGGCTTCTGAAGGGTTCTGCCATGTTTTCATATATTTCTCAAAATAAATGCCCTTTTTAAAAATGAACAGGATTGGCACAGTGGCTCATGCCTATAATCCAGCACTTGGGGAGGCCAAAGCAAGATTACTTGAGCCCAGGAGTTCAAGTCCAGCCTGGGCAACATAGTGAGACCCTGTTTCTACAACAGATATTTTTTTAAAAATCAGCTGAGCATGGTGGCCCACACCTGTAGCTACTCAGAAGGCTGAGGTGGGAGGATTGTTTGACCTCAGGAGGTCAAAGCTTCAGTGAGGTATGATTCTGCTACTGCATCAGCCTGGGTGACACAGCAAGACCCCGTCTCTTAAAAAAAAATTTTTAAATGTAAATAAATGTATTTTAAAGAATGTTTAAAATCACTTTTTCCAATATTTTCAGGATTTTGATCTTTTGGAATCGTGATTTTGGGGATTTTAGACTTCAGGGATTTTGATCTTCTGGGATTTCAAAATTCGAGATTGTGGTATTTTGGGAATTATGGCCCCAACCCATCACAAGATCAGCCCAGATGAAGAGGCAGGGAAAGGGAAGTTGATGGGAAAAGGGGTATGCATGTATGGGAGGAGTTGTTGGCAACCATCTTTGGAGTCAGTCTGTCACAGCCTGCTGAACATATTCACACCATGTCTGGTGAAGCTCATTACCTGTTCAAGGATGTATGCTTTTAAGCAGTAGCTAAACTGTGAGTCAAAGAAGTGAATTTTTAAATTAGACTTTCAAATGTGAGCAGTGAATATCTATAATTTCTAATTTGAGGAGTGAGAAGATAAAATTACAAGTTTTATTCCAAGAAAACTTCAGCAAATACTTATTAAGCCTTCCATTATGTATGCACTTTGTAGGTACTGGAAAGCAATTCAGAAGTATGTCAACAGCTTACGACCTGTGTGACTTAGGGAAAGTCATTTAACCTCGTGGCATCTGTTTGCTAATCTAAGGACAACATGTACGGACCTTGTATACTACCTGGCATGGAATAATTGCTTACTGAGTGTTACTTTTCTTTCCTTTTTTTTTTTAATCTTCCTCAAAAAATACTGGGCATGGTGGCTTCTGCAGTTCTGTGCCCCGTTTTCTTAGCATTAACTTGAGTTCTTTTATTTGAACAGGTACCGCTCACATGATAGAGGCTGATGTCCTTCTTCCAAGTGATGGGGCAGAACACAGCCAGCCAATTATGGCTCATCCCCCTGAAACAAACAGTGATAATACGCTACAGGAGTGGCTGACTGAAGTTACGAAAAGCAATAAAGGCATCAAGCTGGATTTCAAGAGGTATTTGTATAAACATGTTCAATTTTCTGGGAAAAAAGTAATAGCTGTGCCTGATTACCTATTTTTTTTTATGTTATCCAAACTGCAAATGGAATTGTAGACCTTAATATATTTCAGAACTGAACCTAAATGAACCTACGACCCACTGAGTTATTTACCAAAATTGTTTTTTGGAGACCCTTAAAGGCTAAAGTTAGATTAATTTTTATAAAGGAATTTATCATAAGTGACCATTGTGACAACAGAAAGATAAATTAAAAATGTGATTTTTGTTAAAAAGTAGCCCAGGAGAGAGGGACCTAGGAGAAATTCATTGAGCTAGTTAATACATATCCTATTTGATTTATATTACTATGTTTGTAAAGGGAAATATTGAGAATTCTCCAATAACCAAAGTGTTCCTTAAACATAATATTTGGAGGTAGCCGGGTGCAGTGGCTCACACCTGTAATCCTAGCACTTTGGGAGGCTGAGGCAGGTGGATCAGCTGAGGTCGGAAGTTCAAGACCAGCCTGCCCAACATGGTGAAACATTGTCTTTAATAAAAATACAAAAAATTATTCAAGCATGGTGGTGCGTGCCTATACTTCCAGCTAATTGGGAGGCTGAGGCAGGAGTTATCACTTGAATCCGGAGGCAGAGGTTGCAGTGAGCTGAGGTCACACCACAGCACTCCAACCTAGGCAACAAGAGCGAAACTGTCTCAAAAAAAAAAAAAATCATCAACTTTTTTAGTTATGAATCGTTCAATTTCATTTTATTGACAAAGAAACAGTTTCCAGAGAGGTTAAGTGATTTACCTAAGGGCAGCAGGTAAGCTTTGACAGGTAAGCTGCAACCAGATCCTAGGTCTCCTGAAACCAGTCCAGTGTTCTCTGTTTCATGAAATAAAGTATTTGACCTTTAGTGCTTGATGGCTTAAACTTTTAGATCTCCTTGACTTATCATGTGCTCAGTTTTTCATGTTTACTGTTGCCCCTTGAATTGTTCCCTGTGATAGATTATTTGGCTTTTATCACCAGTCAGATCAGCTCATTCATTCTTAAATGCTAGCAGCTACCACAAAAGGGCGAGCCACTAGAACAAAGATTTTGCAAGTTTTTTAAAAATCATAACATTTGAAGGGGATTCAATATAAACTGATAGGTATATGAACACCTATTATATGTCAGACACTGTTCTTAAAGCACTGCATGTATTTTTCATGAAATTCTTATAATAGTCCTAAAAGGCAGGTTATTGCTATTCTCATTTTCCAGATGAGGCAATGGAGATGGAGGCGGGTAAGGAGGCTGCTTGTCACATAGTTGGCAATGGAACTAGAGCGCTGTCAGCCTGGCTGGAGAGTTCACACTCTTAACCAGATTGCCACACTCACTCTCTTTGTAACAGCAGCTGAATGACCTGTTAGTTGAATTTTAGCAGTTCTTGTTTTGTGCTTCTAAATTATTTTGTTTGGTACACAAATAAGAACATTATATTTTTTAATTTCATCTGGAGTCTCGGCAAGCTCTTCAATATTTTAGCAAAGAATTATTTTCCCTTAACATGCAATTTTATATAGTTTATTACAATTTTAAGTATGATATTTATTTTTTCATTCCCAATTTCTAAATGAAATTAACAGGAAAGCAGGATATGATATTTAGAAGTTTGATTTACATGTAACTTTTTGGGAAAAAATATGTTCTATAATAACTAAGTTTATATTCTTTTCAGGAAACTTAAATACCACCAAAGAACAATTTTAGGTAGTATTCTAATCAGGACTTTCTTCTTCAGATGATCATCTTAGTGAAGCTTTGGCACTTCCTTATGAGAAACTTAGTACCAATATATGTAAGAATTGAGAATGTTGGCCATTGTATTTTAAGCTAGAATTACATGGAATTTATAGGTTAATTTAGAAGGATGTGTCATTTTATAATACGTGCACTATTGAGCCTTCCAGGCTGAGTCTGTTATTTCTTGTAGTATTTACTAGTCCTCTGTTATCTGCAGTTTCAGTTACCTACAGTACACTGTAGTCTAGAAGTATTAAACGGGAATTTCCAGAAATAAACACTGAATATGTTTTAAATTGTACGCCATTCTGAGTAGTGTGGTGAAATCTTGTACTTTCCCCCTCCGTCCCACCTGGGCTGTGACTCATCCCTTCCCTTTGTCCAGCGTATCCACACCGCATATGCTGCCCACCTATTAGTCACTTAATAGCCATCATGGTTATCAGAGTGACAAATCATAAAAAGAACGGTAAGTACAGTCCAGTAAGCTATTTTGAGAGAGAGAGACTGCATTCACATAACTTTTACTATAGTATATTGCTATAATTGTTCCATTTTAAAAAATTATTACTTTTTGTTGCTAATCTTTTACTGTGCCTAATTTATAAATTAAACTTCATTAGAGATAGGTATGTGTAGGAAAAGAAGCAAAGTACATACAGGGTTAGATGCTGTGTGGTTTCAGGCATCTGCTGGTGGTCCTGGAACATATTCCCTGCAGATAAGGGGCCCTACTGTACATTTTATTTTGTTGTTTAGGAAAGTTTGTCCCCAGTCCTTTTTTCCCCTACAACATGTTACACCTTTTCTTCCAGAAGAACTTTAGAATGATTTTGTCAAGTTTTAGAAAATAAGAACTACAACAACAAAAAGTTTTTGGTTCCTTAGTGAGGTTTTAAATTTAACCACAGGTTTTGTTTTTCTTATTTAAGTTTCTGGTAAGGGAAAGTATCATTATCTTTAGTCTACGTTAGTGATAATGAAAACATTTACATATAAAATGGAATAAATGTATTAAATTCTTGCTTCATTATGTTCTTTGTCATAGCTTCTTTAACTGCATATAATAGGCACTTAGTAAACACTGGTGGAATTTCGGTTTTTGGGAGAAGATGCTATTTGAAACTGGATATTGGCCAGGTGTGGTGGCTCACACCTGTAATCCCAGCACTTTGGGAGGGCAAGGAGGGCAGATAACTTAAGATCAGGAGTTCAAGACCAGCCTGGCCAACATGCTGAAACCCAATCTCTACTAAAAATACAAAAATTAGCTGGGCATAGTGGCACATACCTGTAGTTCTAGCTACTCAAGAGACTGAGGGAGGTGAATGGCTTGAACCCAGGAGGCGCAGGTTGCAGTGAGTTTGAGGTTGGTGACAGAGCAAGATTCTGTCTCCAAAAAAAAGAAACTGGATATTATCAGATGGAGAATCAATCTTAAATTACTCTATGTCAGCTTACTGAATTGAGAAAGCCTAAGAAGCTCTCTCTTGAAATGTAAACTGGAGATTAGTATTTAATCCAGCTTCCATGGACACCAGATTTCATAAGAAATCAGAGTCTTTTCTGGAAAAAGAGCTTGGCAGGAGACATGCATGGATTAGTTCAAGGTTTTTCCTTACTCCACCCATGAAGAGCAGAACCTTGTGGGGACTTGGCTGCCGCTATGGGACTGACAGACGAGAACCTTTGGAGTCACAGGCACAAGTTGCTTGCTACCAAAAGTAGAATTTTGTAGGAAGTACAGTGTTGGATCTCAGAATTGTGGTTTTAACTTGGTGTTGATACAGGGCAAGGCAGGGAGAATTTAAAAGAGACAAATGACGGGATCTAAATTAAGGTCTGCAGAGTCCAGCATTAGGGGTTATTTATCCACTAAAACCTAGGCCCTCCATTTCAGGGGCAGAAGAGTGAGAAGGAAGTGTACCATGTGGGAGTAGAGAGAAAGGGGCTAGAGGCTAAGGGATAGAGCCTGGATTCCTCTGGTTTTGGTACATTGTATTCTTGCTCACTGGTAAACATGACCCAATAAATAATGAGATTATTCAGATTTCTCCTCTTAGAGTAAGCAGCTCAAAAGGAGTGGAAAGAAGAGAGGTGGAAGCATAGATAGTACTGCAGTCTCTTTTTTTTTTTTAAAGGGGGGCTGCTGGATCTCCACCTTCTTTTACCTCTTTTTTTTTTTTTGAAAGAGAGAAAGAGAAAGAATAGAAAAAAAAAAAAGAAAAAGAAAAAAAAAGAATGAAGGAGAGGAAGAGGGAGAGAGAACAGGGGTATTGCTTTATTGCCCAGGCTAAAATGCAGCCTAAAAATGGGTATGCCTGTAATTGTGTTTAATAATAGAGACATTAAAAAAAAAATGAGGGAAGAAAATAATTAACAAACAGCCAACCAATATTTCATTTAAACCTATAAATAGGTGTGATGTGGTACTGATAAGAGTGTATATTTTGTGTATTTAAAGTGGAGAGTTCTATAAATGTTAATTAAGTCTACTTGTGCTGGATCTGAGTTCAAGTCCTGAATATTGATGTTAACTTTCTGTCTCACTGATCTGTCTCATATTGATGTTGAAGTCTCCCACTATTATTGTGTGGGAGTCCAAGTCTCTTTATAAGTCTTATATATCTGGGTATTCCTGTATTGGGTGTGTATATATTTAGGATCTTTAGTTCTTCTTGTTACATTGATCCTTTTATTATGTAATATCCTTCTTTGCTTCTTTTGATCTTTGTTGCTTTAAAGTCTATTTTATCAGCAAAAATTGCAACTCCTGCTTTCTATTTATTTATTTTTGCTCTCCATTTGGTTGGTAAATTTTTTTCCATCCCTTTGTTTTGAGTCTTTGTGCATCCTTGCATATGAGATGGATCTGGATGTAGCATACCAATGGGTCTTGGCTTTTTTTGCCTGTCTGTGTCTTTGGATTGGGGGATTTAGTAGATTTAAATTTAGAATTAATAACAATATATGTGAGTTTGATACTGCCATTTAATATTCGCTGGCTGTTTTGCCCATTAGTTGATGCAAGTTCTTAATTATGTTGATGTTCTTTATTTTTTGGTATTTTTTAGAAAGGCTGATACTGGTTGTTCCTTTCTATGTGTAGTGGTTCTTTCAGAAGCTCTTATAAAGCAGGCCTGGTGGTGATGAAATCTCTGAGTGCTTGCTTGTTCACAAAAGATTTTATTTTTCCTTCGCTTATGAAGCTTAGTTTGGCTGGATGTAAAATTCTGGGTTGAAAGTTCTTTTCTTTAAGGATGTTGAATATTGGCCCCCACTCTCTTCTGTCTTGTAGGGTTTCTGCTGAGAGATCTGCTGTGAGTCTGATAGGCTTCCCTTTATGGGTAACCTGACCTTTCTCTCTGGCTGCCCTCAGTATTTTCTCTTTCATTTCAACCCTGGTGAATCTGGCGATTATGTGCCTTGAGGTTGGTCTTCCTGAGGAATATCTTTGTGGTGTTCTCTGTATTACCTGGAGTTGAATATTGTCCTGCCTTGCTAGGTTGGGAAAGTTTTCCTGAATAATATCCTGAAGCGTATTTTCCAGCTTGGATTGATTCTCTTCGTCACATTCAGGTACACCTATCAAACGTAAATTAGGTCTTTTCACATAGTCCCATATTTCTTGGAGACTTTGCTCATTCTTTTTTATCCTTTTTTCTCTAATCTTGTCTTTTTGCTTTATTTCATTAAGTTGGTCTTCGACCTCTGATATCTTTTCTTCTGCTTGATCAATTCGGCTGTTAAAACTTGTGCATATAGTTCGCGAAGTTCTCGTGCTGTGTTTTTCAGCTCCATTAATTCACATATTCCTCTCTAAGTTGTGTGTTATTGTTAACATTTCATCAAACCTTTTTTCAAAGTTCTTAGTTTCTTTGCATTGGGTTAGAACAAGTTCTTTTAATTCCCAGAAGTTTCTTATCATCCACTTTTTAAAGCCTGCTTCTGCTAATGGAACACAGTCTTTCTCCATCAGGCCTTGTTCTGTTGCTGATGAGGAACTGTGATCCCCTGTAGAGGGAGAGGCATTCTGGTTTTGGGTATTCTCAGCCTTTTTAGGCTGGTTTCTTCCCTTCGTTATATATTTATCCATCTGTGGTCTTTATAATTACCGTCTTTATAGTTGGGTTTCTGAATGGACGTCCAACTTGTTGATTCCCGGCGCTAAAATCTGAGCAACCCACTGTGCCGGCCAAAACAGCGGCTTTAAGATTGATGGTGCTTTTCTGACTCTGCACCAAGAACCGCCACACCAAGGCAGCAGCAAAACCGCCTTACCGGCCTCAAGAGTCGCGCTGGCGACCCGTGGGGCTCCTCCGCTGGGAATCTCCTGGTGCGTGAGCAACAAAAATTGATCTGAAAGTGTGGTGTCCTCTCATTCTCTGCGCTTTCAGTGGGAGCTACAGTCCCGAGCTGCTAGTGATCGGCCATCTTGGATCTCTCTCCCACAAATTGTATTCTGTACTGCAGTCTCTTAGGCAGAGATAGAAATGTGAGGAGGGATCACTGAATGGTCTCCCCTCCAATGTCCATCTCCAGAATTCTTAGCCTCCTCTTACAATATTCACTGTAAGGTAATTTTATTTTTCTTTTTCGTTTGAGACAGAGTTCTGCTTTTGTTGCCCAGGCTGGAGTGTAAAGGCATGATATCAGCTAACCGCAACCTCTGCCTCCTGGGTACAAGCGATTCTGCTGCCTCAGCTTCCCAAGTACCTGGGATTACAGGCATGCACCACCACACCTGGCTAATTTTTGTATTTTTAGTAGAGATGGGGTTTCACCATGTTGGCTAGGTTGGTCTCAAACTCCCGACCTCAGGGGATCCACCCACCTCAGCCTCCCAAAGTGCTGGGATTACAGGCTTGAGCCACCATGCTTGGCTAGTAATCTTATAAATGAACACAGTCAAGTAAAAATTACGGAAGCTGATTAAAACCTTATTTTTCAAAGTCTGTAGGTATCAGCTAGAATACATGTAGGGAAGTAAAAGAGTGAAGTTGCTTTTTTGATTTAAACTAAAATATACATGTTTCTAGTTTTCAGAAAATGTTCTTACAATAAAAAAAAGAAAAACTTACAAAAAGTTTAAGGAAATACTGTAATTTTATATTTTGCAGTCATTTTTAGAATTATGTGTATGTATCCAAACACACCCAAGAATACATAAAGGAAAGAAGCTACTTTTTTTCTCTAGGGTCATGAGCCTAAATTAGAAATACAGCACTTGGATCCACTTGGGTATTTCATAAATGTGAATTTACAGGTTATACGTGTATTTCACTTGTCTTATTTATACATTCTGTGATGAGTGAATATTTGTGTCTCTTAAAAAACTGTTTTCACACTAAGTGATCTTAATATGGAGTTTTGAAACCTCTATTTTGTCCACAAGTAGTATCATTAGTTATATATTTATAGACTCTTGATGGTATATTCATGAATACTAAGTACAATTCAACATTGAGAGATATGGCCTATGTTAGCTTTTCCCTTGAGTGCTATGTGATCGTTGATTTTATTTAACCCAGATATTATTGTATTTTTATTATGAATTTGAGAACATTAAGACCACTAATCTAAAAGAACTTCTTTTTACTTTACCTTAGGAATCTATCTCATTGACAACAAATTATGTTTTTAGTCTGGCAGCTGTAGAACCATCCATGATGCTCTTGGAAGATATGAAGAGGCGTCTGAAGCGTCCTGTATGGATTAATGCTGATATTCTTCCTGGTCCAAATGGAAATAGCAAAGTAATAGATGCAAAACCATTTTTAGACACTGTGACATCCTTCTTTCTAGACGTGACATTTTCCCTGGGTTGGACAACAGGATGGCATCCAGAGAAAGTCAATGAAGGTGATAATTCTAATAACATATTTCTTGTTGGTCAAATTAAAGTATCCTCCAAGTATAAAAATAACATCTTTAATACAAAGCCCAAAACACATTCTACAAAATCTAAGGCTAATGGAAAAGAAGGCCTGACTGCAGGTATGTGTAGACTCTTCCGTCTACCCTTTCAGATAGATGCTGTGTTCACTGGGGACGCTGCAAATTTTAAGAGAGTGTATACATTTATAGTCATATAAATAAAGCTTCTGTTAGCAATCTCCTAATTTTTAAAATTATAATTTTCTAGTGGATCACTTCACTTCTTTTTATCAGGAAATTAGCTACTAAAATAACATATTCACTTAATATTTCTGTAAAATGTTCCTTTATTGACTGACCAATAGTTTTTACAACTTGATTTTGATACAGTGTAGAGTTATTTCAAATATAAATATTCTGGCCAGATGTGGTGGCTCATGCCTGTAATCCCAGCACTTTGGGAGGCCAAGGTGGGCAGATGAGCTGAGGTCAGGAGTTCAAGACCTGGCCAACATAGCAAAACCCCATCTCTATTAAAAATACAAAAGTTAGCCAGGCATGATGGTGCATGCCTGTAGTCCCAGCTACCCAGGAGGCTGAGGCAGGAGAATTGCTTGAACCCAGGAGGCGGAGGCTGCAGTGAGCCAAGATTGTGCCACTGTACTCCAGCCTGGGCAACAAAGTGAGACTCTGTCTCAAAAAAAAAAAAGTATATATACTTATCTTTATTACATATATGTATATATTTTATTTATATTTGTAAATATATATACTATGTACATATGCATATATATATGTATATATATACATATATATATGTGTATGTATATATATATATATATATATGTATATATATATACTTTTTTTGAAGGTGTTTATAACAAGCAAGTGTGTTTTCCACGTCTTTTTTTTTGGGGGGGGGGACAGATTCTTGCCAGGCTGGAGTGCAGTGGCACAATCTCAGCTCACTGCAACCTCCACCTCCCAGCTTCCTAGGTTCAAACGATTCTCGTGCATCAGCCTCTTGAATAGCTGGGATTACAAGTGTGTGCCACCGCACCCAGCTAATTTTTGTATTGTTTTGGTAGAGACGGGGTTTTACCATATTGGCCAGGCTGGTCCTGACCTCCAGTGATCTGCCCACCTCGGCCTTCCAAAGTGTTGAGAGTACAGGTGTAAGCCACTACACCTGGCCCTTTTTTTTTTTTTTTTTTTTTAAAGAAACAGGATCTAGCTCTGTTACCCAGGCTGAGTGCAGTGGTACCATCATGGCTCACTGTAGCTTTAACCTCCTGGGCTCAAGTGATCCTCCCACCCCAGCCTCCAGTGTAGCTGGGACCACAGGCACACACCATCACAGACAGCTAATTTTTTAATTTTTTGTAGAGGTCCACGCAATGTTGCCTAGACTGGTTTCAAACTCCTGGGCTCAAGCGATCTTCCCACTTTGGCCTCCCAAAGGGCTGGGATTGCAGGCATAAACCACCATGCCTGGCCCGCAATATCTTAACATGATTTAAATATATATAAAATATGTACATATACATATAGTCCATTTTACCACTATTTCTACTTTAAGTAATATGTACAGGTAATTTAGGCAAGCCAAAAAGAAAATTGATTTGATGTTATCACCTAAACAGCTGGTGTATACGCCAAAGCTACTTTTTGTTGGAAAAGAAAATTTAGCAAAAATAGGAAATCCAAGTTTATAGAGAAAAATAATGATGCAGATGTACCTAAAACAAGGATCTTAAAATCTTTAACGTAAATAAGATCTAGTGGTGTAAAATTTCTTTTCTTGTGCCTGAGACATTAGTAAAACCTTTTTAATGCCTTAATTTTTCATTAAATTTGCTCTAGGTCACTTTGGCATGACTTTTTATCGACATTTTCCATTTAGTTTTTTTTTTGCATTAAGTAGAATTTTAATTCACTGGAATCCAAATGGAAATTATTATGAATTAATTACCTATGAATTTACCGATGAAACCATTTATCTATGGTTTTACCTAATTGCAAGTAATTTAGTCTTTAATTGGCTTTCGAGATTTCAATCAATAAAGTTAAAATTTTTTTTTTAAGGGTACAGCTGGACCATGGTGAAAGAGATGGAATATATATGTAATGAACTAAGTCAGCCTGTAACGTTCCCTGTCAGAGCAGCATTAGTGAGGCAGTCTTGTTCTCAGTTACTTTGGCTGTTAAAGAAATCAAACAGGTATGTAATCGTTTAACAATATGATATGTGCATGTGAGTGGGTATGAGAGACAGAGATAGAGAGGGCATGAAAATTGATTATGTAAGGACAGTGTGTGTGAGAGAAAGGTAGATGGAAAAGGAATGAAAATTGATGATGTAAGTGCACAGAGTCTCGCCAGATTGGAGCTCCTTGATGAACCTTAACTTACTTAACATTGTATATTTTACCACTATTCCTCACAAAAGTTTTTGTACATAGTAGGTGCCCAATAAATGTTAGCTATCTTTTTATTTATTAATTATTATTAAACTTTAAGTTCTGGCATACATGTGCAGCACGTGCAGGTTTATTATAAAGGTATACACTTGCCATCGTGGTTTTCTGCACCCATCAATCCATCATCTACATTAGGTATTTCTCCTAATGCTATCTCTCCCCTAGCCCTCTACCCCTTGACAGGCCCTGGTGTGTGATGTTCTCCTCCCTGTGTCCATGTGTTCTCATTGGTCAACTCCCACTTATAAGTGAGAACATGCAGTGTTTGATTTTCTGTTCCTGTGTTAGTTTGCTGAATGATGGTTTCAAGCGTCATCCATGTCCCTGCAAAGGACTGAACTCATCTTCTTTTATGATGTATATTTATTTATAGTGTATATGTGCCACATTGTCTGTCACTGATGGACATTTGGGTTGGTTCCAAGTCTTTGCTATTGTGAATATTGCTGCAATAAACATACATGTGCATGCGACTTTATAGTAGAATGACTTATGTTCCTTTGGCTATATACCCAGTAATGGGATGGCTGGGTCAAATGGTATCTGTGGTTCTAGATCCTTGAGGAATCGCCACACTGTCTTTCACGATGATTGAACTAATTTATACTCCTACCAACAGTGTAAAAGTATTCCTATTTCTCCACATCCTCTCCAGCATCTATTGTTTCCTGACTTTTTAATGATTGCCATTCTAACTGGCGTGAGATGGTGTCTCATTATGGTTTTGATTCACATGTCTCTAGTGACCAGTGATGATGAGCTTTTTTCATATGTTTGCTGGCTGTATAAATGTATTTTGAGGAGTGACTGTTCATATTCTTCACCAACTTTATGGAGTTGCTTGCCTTTTTCTTGTAGATGTGTTTAAGTTCCTCATAGATTCTGGATATTAGCCCTTTGTCAGATGGGTAGATTGCAAAATGTTCTCCCATTCTGTAGGTTGTCTGTTCAATGCTAATGATAGTTTCTTTTGCTGTGCAGAAGCTCTTTAGTTTAATTAGATCCCATTTGTCAATTTTGGCTTTCGTTGCCATTGCTTTTGGTGTTTTAGTCATGAAGTCTTTGCCCATGCCTATGTCCTGTATGATACTGCCTAGGTTTTCTTATAGGGTTTTTATGGTTTTAGGTTTTATGTTTAGGTCTTTAATCCCTCTTAAGTTTTGTATAAGGTATAAGAAAGGGGTCCAGTTTCAGTTTTCTGCATATAGCTACCAGTTTTCCCAACACCATTTATTAAATAGGGAATCCTTTCCCCTTTGCTTGTTTTTGTCAGGTTTGTCAAAAATCATATGGTTGCAGATGTGTGGTGTTATTTCTGAGGCCTCTGTTCTGTTCCATTGGTCTATATATCTGTTTTTGCTACCAGTATCATGTTGTTTTGGTTACTGTAGCCTTGTAGTATAGTTTGAAGTCAGGTAGCATGATACCTCCAGCTTTGTTCTTTTTGCTTAGGATTGTCTTGGCTATATGGGCTCTTTTTTGGTTTCTTATGAAATTTAAAGTAGTTTTTTCTAATTCTGTGAAGAATGTCAATGGTAGCTTGATGGGGTAGCATTGAATCTATAAATTACTTTGGGTAGTATGACCATTTTCAAGATATTGATTCTTCCTATCTGTGAGCATGGAATGTTTTTCCATTTGTTTGTGTCCTCTCTTATTTCCTTGAGCAGTGGTTTGTAGTTCCCCTTGAAGAGGTCCTTCACAACCCTTCTAAGTTGTATTCCTAGCTACTTTACTGTCTTTGTAGCAATTGTGAATGGGATTTCACTCGTGATTTGGTCTCTGTTTGTCTGTTATTGATGTATAAGAGTGCTTGTGATTTTTGCACATTGATTCTGTATCCTGAGACTTTTCTAAAGTTGCTTATCAGCTTAAGGAGATTTTGGACTGAGACTGTGGGGTTTTTAAAATATACAATCATATCATCTGCAAACAGACAATTTGACTTTCTCTTTCCTATTTGAATACCCTTTGTTTCTTTCTCTTGCCTGATTACCCTGGCTAGAACTTCCAATACTATGTTGAATAGGAGTGGTTAGAGAGGGCATCCTTGTCTTGTGCTCGTTTTCAAAGAGAATGCTTCCTGTTTTTGCCCATTCAGTATGATATTGCCTGTGGATTTGTCATAAATAGCTCTTATTATTTTGAGATACGTTCCATCAATACCTAGTTTATTGAGAGTTTTTGGCATGAAGGGGTGTTGAATTTTATCGAAGGCCTTCTCTGTATCTATTGAGATAATCATATCGTTTTTGTCATTGGTTCTGTTTATGTGAGGGATTACATTTATTGATTTGCATATGTTGAACCAGCCTTGCATCCCAGGGATGGAGCTGACTTGATCATGGTGGAGAAGCTTTTTGATGTACTACTGGATTTGGTTTGCCAGTGTTTTATTGAGGATTTTTGCATCGATGTTCGTCATGGGTATTGGCCCGAGACTGTCTTTTTTGGTTGTGTCTCTGCCAGATTTTGGTATCAGGATGATGCTGGCTTCATAAAATGAGTTAGTGAGGAGTCCCTCTTTTTCTGTTGTTTGGAATAGTATCAGAAGAAATGATACCAGCTCCTCTGTATTTCTGGTAGAATTCGGCTGTGAATCTGTCTGGTCCTGGGCTTTTTTTGGTTGATAGGCTTTTAATTACTTCCGGAATTTCAGAACTTGTTATTGGTCTATTCAGGTATTTGGCTTCTTCCTGGTTTAGTCTTGGGAGGGTGTATGTGTCCTGGATTTTATCCATTTCTTCTAGATTTTCTAGTTTATTTGCATACAGGTGTTTATAGTATTCTCTGATGGTAGTTTGTATTTCTGTGGGACCAGTGGTGATACCTCATTATTATTTTTTATTGTGTCTATTTGATTCTTCTCTCTTTTCTTCTTTATTAGTCTGGCTAATGGTCTATTTTGTTAATCTTTTCAAAAAGCCAGCTCCTGGATTCATTGATTATTTGAAGAGTTCTTCCTGTCTCTATCTCCATTAGTTCTGCTCTGATCTTAGTTATTTCTTGTCTTCTGCTAACTTTTGAATTTGTTCGCTCTTGCTTCTCTAGTTTTTTAAATTGTGATGTTAGGGTGTTGATTTTAGATCTTTTCTGCTTTTTCCTATGGGCATTTAGTGCTGTACATTTCCCTCTAAAAACTGCTTTAGCTGTGTCCCAGAGATTCTGGTACATTGTGTCTTTGTTCTCGTTGGTGTCAAAGAACTTATTTATTTCTGCCTTAATTTTGTAATTTATCCAGTAGTCATTCTGGAACAGGTTGTTCAGTTTCCATGTAGTTGTGCAGTTTTGAGTGAGTTTCTTAATCCGAAGTTCTAATTTCATTGTACTGTGGTCTGAGAGACTGTTCATTATATCCATTCTCTTGCATTTGCTGAAGAGTGTTTTATTTCCAATTGTGTGGTCAATTTTAGAATAAGTGCAATGTGGTGCTAAGAAGAATGTATATTCTGTTGATTTGGGGTGGACAGTTCTGTAGATGTCTATTAGGTCCACTTGGTTTAGAGCTGAGTTCAAGTCCTGAATATTCTTGTGAATTTCCTGTCTTATTGATCTAATATTGACATTGGGGTGTTAAAGTCTCCCACTCTTATTGTGTGAGAGTCTAAGTCTCTTTGTAGGTCTCTAAAAACTTGCTTTATGAATCTGGGTGCTCCTGTATTGGGTGCATATATATTTAGGATAGTTAGCTTTTCTTGTTGCATTGATCTATTTACCATTATGTAATGCCCTTCTTTGTCTTTTTTGACCTTTGTTGGTTTAAAGTCTGTTTTATCCGAGACTAGGATTGCAACACCTGCTTTTTTTTTTTTTTTTTTTCTATTTGCTTGGTAAATATTCCTCCATCCCCTTATTTTGAGCCTTTGTGTGTCTTTGCACATGAGATGGGTCTTCTGAATACAGCACACCGAGGGGTCTTGACACTTTATCCAATTTGCCAGTCTGTGTCTTTTAATTGGGGCATTTAGCCCATTTACATTTATGGTTAATATTGTTATGTGTGAATGTGATCCTGTCATTATGATGTTAGCTGGTTATTTTTCCCGTTAGTTGATGCAGTTTCTTCATAGTATCAATAGTCTTTACAATTTGGTATGTGTTTTCAGTGGCTGCTACCAGCCACTTTCTATACTTAGTGCTTCCTTCAGGAGCTCTTGTAAGGCAGGCCTGGAGGTGACAAAATCTCTCAGCATTTGCTTGTTCGTAAAGGATTTTATTTCTCCTTTGCTTACAAAGCTTAGTTTGGCTGCATATGAAATTCTAGGTTGAAAATTCCTTTCTTTAAGAATGTTGAATATTTCCCCCCACTCTCTTCTGGCTTGTAGGGTTTCTGCACGGAGATCTGCTGTTAGTCTGATGGGCTTCCCTTTATACATAACTCGACCTTTCTCTCTGGCTGCCCTTAACATTTTTTCCTTCATTTCAGCCTTGGTGAATCTGACAATTATGTGTCTTGGGGTTGGTCTTCTCCAGGATTATCTTTGTGGTGTTCTCTGTATATCTTGAATTTGAATGTTGGCCTCTTTTGCTAGGTTGGGGACATAATAGCCTGAAAAGTGTTTTCCAACTTGGTTCCATTCTCCCTGTCACTTTCAGGTACACCAATCAAGTGTAGTTCTTGGTAGCTTTGTTCATTCCTTTTTGTTCTTTTTTCTCTAATCTTATCTTCAAGCTTTATTTTATTAAGTTGATCTTCAATCTCTGGTATCCTTTCTTCCACTTGATCGATTCAGCTATTGAT